TATTCTACTTGTGTTCCTAAAGTGCTAATATGTGGCTTAAATATTCACTGAAGTGAAAATTTTTACTTATCTTGAAAAATTAGATTTTCTGTTAGTTGGAAGTGATGTTAACTGCTACAAAAATTAAATTAATTTAAAATGTATTTTCTTGCAGACTCTTAAATACTCATCAAAGAGTCACCCCAGTGGTGGTGATCACCGTCATGACAAGATGCGAGACACCGCAGATCCTTCACCACCAAATAAAATGTTGCGACGGTCTGATAGCCCTGAAAACAAATATAGTGACAGCACAGGGCACAGTAAAGCAAAAAGTGTGCATACTCACAGAGTTAGAGAGAGGGATGGAGGTGAGTTGTTTCTAATCATTTTTATTTAAGCAGTAATCTGATTTAAATTTTATTGAAATAATAAGTAAAACAGTTACAAGTGACATGTCTTACACAATGGTGAGAAGACTGTGCACTGGTACTCAGTTCCACCAGAGGTCATTGCCTTGAGTCTTTTATATTAAACTGATTCTTTTTTTCTTCCAAAAAATAGTAGATGTCAACAAAGACACCAAGAGATTAAAGCAATTAATTTTTTTTGGTATTGGTGCATTTTTAAGGTGACTTCTAAAGGTGCTGGAAAGAGTAGTTTATGAGAACATCTTAATTGGATTACATTTTAGATGTTTCCATAAGCAAAATACATTTTTATTCTTCCATTGGTTTTGAAGCATCAGAGTTCCAGCTGCTGATAGTGTGTCATCTGTTCAATTATTTAATTATTCATAATGTGTTCGTGCATAAGGAAATGTCCACAGATTAACTTGGATTAATATTTTTGATGTGCTGTTCATCTAAATGTTACATTTCCAAATATGATATATGTCTGATAAGCTTCTGTTCTGCAGTGCCATTTAATTTCTAGTTCTAGTTACTTGCTCTCGAAGGCCCTGATCCTTCAAACACTTAACACTTTTATTTTCCTTAACTTTTTACTGCTCTGAGGAGTTCAACTGATTTCCATGAAACTTACCATAGGAAAAGTAAGCACATGTGTAAATGTTTGAAGGGTCATTACAGAAGCATTTGGAAGGGAAGGAGTGGGAAGCTGAGTATTGAATACATTTTCTCTGTAAAATAGGAGAAGTAAATTGAAGTTTTCAAGTCCACCTGAACTGAATGGTTGGTGATGCAGGGTTTTATTGCATACAGTGGTGTTGGGGGATAATGTAGTGGATAATGTAGTGTAGATATTGGAATATCTAGAGGCAACAGAAGGTTACTTCTCCATTTCCTCCTCTTTCCCCTTTCCTTCATAGAGTGAAAAATTCAGTGTATTTTGATAATGGTGACATGTTCAGAGTGGTTTTAGTAGGTGTAACAAGTAGTCTTAAATGTTTGCATAAGTGAATGCAAGCCCTTTTAAATAAAGTTTAAATGACAAAAAGTGAAATAGATTGAAGTGATTGTTACACTCTAAGTATTCTTTACATAGTTAGAAATCATGTCTTCCTTACATTTCATAAACATAATATAATTGTTTCACTCAATGTTAAATTGTCAGTAACAGAAATTGTATAGAACAAATGGGCAGAGCCTACTTACGCTCTGGAATAGTTACACAAAAGTTTAAACTGCATGCATTTTAATTAATGATACCATTAAGAAGAATGGCATACTCATACTATTTTTATGAATTGGAATGAGCTGTTTGGACACAACTGGAACTTCTTGACTAGGTGTTGATATATCTATGTCCATAATGCCCAGTACATATAAAGGGCTACCTGATTTTAAACACAGGTTAGTGTGTTCTATAGTTGCACTAAACTATACTGTTGATTGTTCCAGTATGTGACTAACTGTATCCATGCTGAAGTAGTTACCTCAGTACTCCCCCTGTATCTCCAATTTCAGGGTTACAGAAAACTTACATAACATAATTTGTTGAAATGCACAGATATTTTTAAGTTAGTTTAAAATAAACCTTTACTTAAATGCTAATAAGACCTAAGACTATTAACTGAAGTAAAATTTGTAATATTTTCTCTTATTTAAATGTGCTTAATCTTTGGCTTTTTCTTAGTTTGGACAGTGAAAATAGATTAGTTTCACTTTTGTATTTATTCATTTTCTAGTCAGTTTCATTATCATGGTGTAGGAATGTTTGAATTGGAACTACTGCAAAGGAATGATTACATTTAAACAAAATAGCAGAAAGAAAAAATCATGGCAGTATTTCACTTAAGTTTTGTGTTTAAAAAAAGTGCACCACACCATGCTTGAGTTTTAAACACTCAGCTAGAAGTCTAAAATCACATATTGCTCTACTTTTAAAGTTAATGTTAAAAGTCAATTTTTCAGTTTTTCAGTCTCCTGGTTCCCATTCTTCTTAAGGTCATCTGTTTTGCTCAAAGTGGTGCAGTGTGCTGATGTTTCAAATGTATTCAGTCCTGAATCTGTTCCAGTATTCTGTGGTAAAGCAAAATTGACCTAACTTTATACAGGGCTCACCTATACGCAGAGTATTTTGTTTTGTACTATTATAATGTGCATTGGTTAAGAGATTAATATAGCTAAAGTGGAACAGCTATAATACCACTTTAGTAGATTAGTATGGATATAGTTATACATACATAAAAGCACTATTGATATAGCTTATTCTTGAAATAAGTGGTATGGATATAAACATCTTTGTCCTGGTTAGGGATGTAAAAAGTAATAAGGAACTGTGTAACTGCTTAAAATCTTAGCGGTTACTTAGTTACGCACGCTGCAGGCTCTGAAATATTAAGCTAAGCTTTATACTGCAGAGCTTGCAGCGAAGCCTCCCTGGGAGTGGGGCTGCCAGCCCGGCTCCCAGGGACGCATCTTAACTGCCCTGCCTCAGCGAAGCTGCCTCCCTGGAGCCAGCTAAGTTCAACCGATAACATTAACCGATAAGCCTCATTGCTTAAACTCTTAACCGTAGTACTGATATATAACTACATGTGCAATAGGATGTTATACCATTGTAACTATATTGGTTTCTAAATACAATTAATAGTGATACCAAAAGATCCCCAAACTGTGGATATGCCCTGTGTGTTGGGATAGTACAAGTAAAGCATGTTTTTATATTGGGTTGAGTAGTCAGTCTCTCTTTGTCCATGGAATGAACTTTACCAGGTTTATTGTAGGTTTTTGACACATTCTCTCCTCTTACTGCCCAAGGAAAGTCAACATAGATATGTTAAGACATATCAAACTAAACATGCAGCATAAAAATTTGGCTGCACTACCACTGGTAGAGGAGGCGATGTGAGTGTGGATTCAGTAGTTTACAAAAAAATCATTGGCATGTGACCGAGTTAAAGCAAATATTCACAACTGTGTTTAGCAAAATTATTACCTTGTGTTTGTGTTCTTACTAGAGATGTTAAGTTTAGATTAATTGGCTAATCAAAGAGCTAATCAAAGAGTCAATGCAATTTGTATCAACTATTCGATTAGTCAATAAGGGTGCCTCCTCCTTTAAAGTGTAGCAACAGCCCTAGGGGACAGGGCTAGCGGGGGACTCAAGCTTTGAGGCTCCACGTGAGGTTTCAAAGTGGCAGATCCCAGGCTCCACATGACGCTGTAGTTTTGAAGCACCCCCATCTCTTCCTCCCCTTGCTGATGGAGGCAGCAATCGGAGGGAGGGGGAGAAGTGACTAGTGTGTCGACTAGTCATTCACATCCCTAGTTCCCACATATTGGAAGCATAATCCTTGTCCTGAAGAGCTTAAATTCTAAGGAGACAATCAATGCACAAAGTAACTGTGCCATACAGATCCAAAATGTATTATTTGTTGACCAGTTTCTTGTAGAAATCACAGATGTGGGTTTATGTATCAGTTCCAGGGGAGGAATCCATGCTTAGGAACAGCCACCCTGAGGGAAGTGAGCAACTAAAACTAGCATTGTTGGCAGGGGAGAGATAGCCATGAAGAGGCTTTAAGGTGAGGAGAAGAAACTTGAATTTGACTTAGTGGAAAAGGGGAAATCAGTGGATGGATTCAAAATGTTTTCTAGGGGAGAGGCAGACTAAATGTCAAGGCAAGTGATCCTAGCAGTGGTGTTTTCAGAACACTGAATGGAGAGAGAAGAATTTCAGAGAACCTAAATGAAACCTGGTAAGTACTTCAGATATGGGAATGGTAAAAGAGCTGAACTTAAAATAGAGGGGAAAAAAGTTGCAATATTTGAATACATCTTTTAGGTCAAGGGAGGCATTGTGAGAAATCACTTCAGGTTTATGCTTGGGAAACAGGGAGTGTGGTGGTATTGTTGTCAGGGATGGAAATGTAAGGAGGCAGAAATAGTTTAGACAGAGTTCTGTTTTGGCCATGCATACTCCAGATCTATCTAAAAGCAGGTATTAGTTGATATGTAATGATTTTAGGCATCCTGCTGTATCTAAGTTTATGAGGATCTGTGAAAATCTATATGTTTTTTTGTCATATTCTTAAAATACAGGTAAAGTGCTTACTTAAATTAATACTGTTCAAATTGTATTATTTTACACTGCATCAAACATTTGAGATCATGAGCTACATTTTCCCCTTCATAGGCTGATTCCATTGATCTAGTCTAGATATCAAAACTTAACTATTCCCAATCAACTAAAGTTAATGTTGTTGATTACTGTTAGTGACTTGTGAACAACAGAATGGAAGAATATTAGGTATAAGAAATTATGAATCTGAATTTTAGAATGTATTCAGTAATATAAAAAGCCACTTCTACCACTCCCTAATCCCTACTGAATGGCGTGGCTTGACAATACCCATTATAGCTAAAGTGGAATATTTTACAACAGGAGTTTCTACATGGATTTGTGGAGCTTTTTCTGAAGAGTTGGTATGTCACAGGCTTCGGGCTTGCCTTGTCTACCAAGATTCCTGGATATTAATTGCAAAAAATAGACTACATTTCTATTGATATGTTTGGAAACGAGTTAGCTTGCTGCCTTGGGGGCCATTGCTATGATGGAAAGGAAGTGGACATTCACCATCAAAGAAAATGAAAAATCTGGCTGTAGGCAGACAAATGAAACCTGACAGCCTCAAAGCATATATTCAGGGGGGTGCGGAAATAGGGCAAAAATAGTGTTAAATATGCTTAATACACTAAAAGCAGTTAGTGTTAGAGACCTATTTTTTCAGCTACAATGGAAGCAGTGCCTTCAAGATACTGCTTATTCACAGATGGGAAGGAAGCAGACGTCTGCGTGATTATCAGTGAGAGGATGGTTGGTCTAGGAAACACTTTGGAAGACTGTAAATTCTCTTAGCCTTCAGATGATACAAAAATTTAATTTCGGATTCCAGCAATTCTTG